GTGCTGTTCTTTATTCCTTTTAGTTCAAGCTGTCAACATTCAAATACTACAATTTTCTTCAAAAGCTTATGATTTTGTGAAAGTTATTTGAGTTTATTTCTTTAGACCAGGGGTTCACAAACTGTGATCCACAGGCCAAATTTGGCCACAAACCTGTGTTTATAAAGTTGGAAAACAATTACATTCACTCATTTAGTGTTAATTATCTGTGACTGTTTCCTGCCACCGCTGATTTGTATAGTTGTCACAAAGATGGAATGACCTACAAAGTCTAAAATATTTTCTATCTGGCTCTTTAAAGAAATAGTTTGCCAACCCCTTAAAGACAAAAGTCACATTGACAAACTTCATGAAAATAAGCCCTTGTCTACTTTGGGCTTCCCACAAGGATCACACTGTTTAAGATTTGTAGGACTGTTGTTTAATCAGTAGAATCAATCTATAAGACACGTCCTTTAGATCCTTAACGCTTTATTTTTCTGTTTAGATAACACCTTCAAACATTCTGGTGTCTTAACAGAAGATTTGCAAACACACATTTGGCTTCATATTTAGACCACATTTTCTAATTGTGTTCTGAATTTCCATTTTTGCCTGAAAATCATTTCTTGATTTTAGCATCATGTTCCATCTGGAACAGCTGGATAACAAATAGCTTTTCTTTCTTATGCAACAAATTGTGACTCATTTATATTCAGAATTTCTCTCTTTAACTTACCTCTCATCTCACATTTTATTATAAACAGCAAAATGACACTAGAAAACACCCTAACAATTCTGTCTCAAAATGTCTTTAGCTAAACTACTTAGTTCATAGGTTCGTTTCTACATTCCGTAATACTGTGGACAATAGCATTTCTAAACTTTCTACAATTTCATTACAAGGATCTCTTTTCTTCCAGGTTCAAATAATATTTCCTTTTATCTGTAGCTTCCTTCTGAACTTTGTTCAGCCCTAGTTGGATTAATTTAGCTTCAACTAAGATTACACCTTTGTGAAACTCCACCTACATCCCCTAAATTATCTATATTGTAGCTAGTGAGAACACAGATTATTCCTAATCTTTTATGAATGCCATAAATTTATCAGTTTACAGCTTTCCAGTGGTTCTTTCACTGGTCTTGATGGAGTTTTAGCCCCACTCACACAGAGATCTATATTCCACCAAGGATACAAGAAGATCCTTCGCAGACTCTGGAGCTCTCTCTTTGCAACTTTCTCCTCTCTGGTATTCTGTCTCACGAATTCTAACTGCTTTGGCCTCACTGAAATCCTATCATTGTGTTCTCAATTCAATGTCACTACCTAGCTCTTTCTAAACTTCCCCCCACTGTGCTGAGACCTAAAAATCTTAGGCAATATGCTAAAATATCTATGACACTCATCTCATTTATTTCCCTTCTCTCAGGGATGCCAGTCCTGCACTGACAGCAGGCAAATATCTAAAAACAGTTATTTTATATATTTATGCCCAATATCCTTTCCCTATTGTTTATAGGGGAAGAGCAATTTCCATAGCAAGTAGCAACAGAAATCAGTATCTTTTTTTCAGTGTTTCTTTTCAATAGTATTATAATTTTAAGTTCCACAGTGCTGCTGCATGTACAACTACTTTGATACTATGAATATCAAAGAATCAAATATTCCATGGTATACATTTACAAGAGTTTACTTACCCAATATCCAATAATGAAAATACTATTTTCTCCCAATTTTTAAAGTAGGGGTCTCACTCTGTCACCCAGGTTGAAGTGCAGTGGCATGCTCATGGTCACCAAAACCTCAACCTGTTAGGCTCAGGTGATCCTTCTGCCTTAACCTTCCAAATAGCTGAAACCACAGGCATGTACCGCCATGCCCGGCTAATTTTTTGATTTATTTGTAGAGACAAAGTCTCACCATGTTACTCAGGTTGGTCTCAAACTCCTGAGCTCAGGCAATCCTCTTGCCTCCACCTCCCAAAGTGCTGGGATTACAGGCGTGAGACACCGTGACTGGCCTTCTACCAGTTTTAAAAGACCACAAATTATGGTGTGATTAACTTTCTCACATGTGTAATCTCTGTACCTGTGTAAGATCTAAGGCTGTGGATAGGGTGGGAGGAGGAATTATACCTAGGATTTATAGCACCATCATAGACTGTCCTTAATTTCAATAAGAACGCCAGAGCAGCTTCATCAATTTAAACTTCTATCAGCAAGACATGAGAAAATGTTCTTATATCACTAGACTTGCAGTAATTTATGTTATTGTTTTCAGATTTTTAATTTGCCAATGTAATGGTGAGTAAAATAATATCTCTTTTTACTTTTTATTTCTTTGATTACTCATGATTTTGCACAATATTTATTAGTCTTTGCATATTTCTCTCCTGTAATCGCCCTTCCTATCCTTTGCCCTTTTCCTTTTGATCTTGCTGTCCTAACCTTGCAGATTTTCATGGCTCCTAGGTATATAGACATATATATATATATATATATATATACACACACATATATATGTATGTATACACACACACATATATACACACACACATACATTAAGCCCTTGCCATTTTGGACAATTAAACATATTCTCTCATGAATACCTCTATCTTCATATTTCTATTTCTACTGTCCTTTATTTTACATATTCTTGATTTTTAAAAAATTTGTTTATTTAATTTTTAGAGATGAGGTTTTGCTATATTAGCCAGACTGGACTCAAACTCCCATCTATCAATCTTTCTGTCTCTATCTATCTATCTATCTATCTATCTATCTATCTATCTATCTATCTATCTTATTGTTTGTATTTTTGTGGTTTTTAAAAGTCTTCTGCTCCCTGGCACATAATTTTATTCTTCTTCATATGCTTCTGATATCTTAATATTTTTTACTTTCACATGTGGAAATGTTGCAGATCACAACTTCTGCTACTTATCATTTGCAGGCCAAAAATGAAAAAGCACAAGACGTAGTGCAAGGACAATGTCTTATTTTCAACGAAGGCAGATGGGGAAATGACCAGGCTCATCCCTCAAAGAAAGTATTTTAAAATCTTGGGCTGAGGGCAAGAAATTTTATAGGGAAAAGATGGAATGATGTGTATTCGAGAGTGGTGCAGGATACAGGGATATGTGTCTTGCTTTGATGATCGTTCTGAATTGCTGTCCATCTGGATAGCATCTCAATTGTGGTCAGGTTATAGATCAACCTCCGGGGGGTGACTTCTGAATCTTGCCATGGGGTCTTCAAGCGCAGTGATTTCTGAACAATCAGGCTCCAAGCATGGTGTGTTCCAAGATTAGCCTCTGAAATTTCTGAAGCAAGTACATAATTAGACCAATGGGTATGTGCTTAATCATAATCATAGGATCATTGTATAAGGGGCGCTCAAAGAGGGAAAGAAAAAGAAAGAAAGAAAGAAAGAAAGAAAGAAAGAAAGAAAGAAAGAAAGAAAGAAAGAAAAGAACGAAATCTAAAGTGTTCCTGCAAGCTGCATTGTGAAGTTAACAACAACAATAACAACAAACAATTTTTAAAAGCTGGGATTTTCAGTTATAGATGTTAAAACTCTCTAGATAAGTGTATTTTTAAAAAACTTCACAACTGATTGATAGATACTGTGTAGCTCATGTTAAGAGCAGAATAATAGAATATTCTGAAAATGTTTGTGTCTATCTATATATGATGGGTTCCTTCTCTGATATACTTTTTATGCAACCTTCTAGTTATCTTCATCTTTATCCTTAAGCCATTTCTTGTCTCAGTACTGGATACCTAAGTTTCCTTCAGTGCTTGGTAGAGGCAGCAATATCTCAGGCCATATCACCTCTTCTAGGAATGGAGCTTTGCTCTGAATAGCCAAAGCCAGACAACCAAAGGACTCCAGGGAGTCATTCTTTGTACATGGCTTTATCAGGTAGAGAGAGATCTGAATGTGGATCCAGGCAGTTCTGAGCATCCCAAATAAGGCCTTCTTCATCAACTGGTGAAATTCTGGGGAGACTTGTCCTATAACTTTCTTTGCTTGTCTGCTACAAATGAAACAACCATCTCATATTGTGGTGTCTTCCCTGCTACTTGAATAAAAAAGACGTGTATCACTAGGTGACAGCTAGGTGTTCAATGTTGTTATATAAAGTAATTATATTTCAACCATGGTTCAGGATTCATTTCAGCTGTCTCCACCAGACCCCAAACCTCTCTCTGAGATCTTCTTTCATGGGTTCTTCAATTCCCCATGACAGGTTTAGCACCCTTAACTGGGTGTTATTTAGCAAACAACTGAAGTTGGAAAGTCACCTGGGAGTGCTTGGTAATTTTAAGATTATTGGGATTTACCCTATATATCTTTAGTCAGGATCATTGCAAGAGGAGTTCTGAAATCTGCATATGTAGTAAGTCGCCTGGGGCATATTTTGGTGTCAAGTTTTGGAGTTTCTATTCTAACATCTGCAAGTATTTAGGGGAGAACTTTGAGTTCTGGGGCAGTGTTTTTCTGTGTAGCCCACATCGAGCTTGATGTGTTCCTTTTGCGGATATGTTGCACCGTCAGTTATAGCATTTTGTCATTAAAATCAAAGTCAAGAATTTGAACTGCCTTTGTATCCACCAACGATCTTTAAATTCACCCCAGGGTGAGCCCTTTTTAGTAGAATGTCCCCGGGGCCCAAATCTGATGCGTCCAGTGCTTCAGAGTGTCTGGAGTGGAGGTCAGAATTCAGCACACAAAATAATGGCAATCTGAAGAAAAAAATGGAACAGCGCCTTTGGTGAAGTAGGTAGCAGGCGGTGTTAACGTAGTGGTTTCTACTACAATACTCCCGCCTCCGGGATCAAATGAGGAAGCGCAGGAAAAGTGCTTTCTAAAAGAATGCTTTGTTTTCCCTATTATAATCTTCGTCATATTTTAATACAATTAAGTAAAAACAGAATTAATTCAGAATTTTCTTTACCGGGCGCACAGATGCGTTGGTGCTAATAAATACTTAAATGCCAAGGCAGGTAAGCCGCCAACCGAGATGGCCGAGTGGTTAAGGCGTTGGACTTAAGATCCAATGGGCTAGTGCCCGCGTGGGTTCGAACCCCACTCTCGGTAAGTTGGACTTTTTCTCCCAAATTCCTTCCCCGTACCAGCAGTCGAAAAACACGCAATAAGGACGGCGGTTTTCCTATGCCTTTTGTGCAAACACAACGGTTTTCTTGTCTTTCAATCTGAAGAAATTGCCTCAGTAGGCAGTAGTGTGTGAATGATTTTGAGGAAGACTGTTTCCGTCGAGAAGAAAGCTCCATCCTTACTAAAAGTGAATTTTCTTATTTTTGCTTCTTTCGTGCGTTTTCTTTGTCATAGATTCTACCCAAGTGGAAAATTTCTGAAGAGAAAACACAGCAGTCTCTCTCTCTCTCTCTCTTTTTGAATTGGAGTCTCACTCTGTTGCCCAGGCTGGAGTGCAGTGGCACACTTTCGGCCACCGCAGCCTCCAGTTGTTGGGCTCAAGCAATCCTTCCGCCTCAGCCTTCCAAGCAGTTGGAACCACAGGCATGCACCACTACGCAGGGTTAAGTTTTTGACTTACCATAGAGACGAGTTTTCGCCAAATTGCCCAGGCTGGTCCCAAATCCCTGAGCTCAGGCAATCATCTCACCTTCGTCCCCCAAAGTGCAGGGATTATAGGCCTGAGGCACCACAACTAGCTCACAGCAGTTTCTTAGTGGTCAGTTAGCTCAGCTATTTAGAGTTCAATGATGATGGTATCAGTGCTGGGCTTGATCCCTACAGAAGTTAACTTAGGCAACATTTCCTCAGGGGAGAATCAACTGCAGATCTAAAGTCACCGTCCCATGTTCACCTCTAACACAAGAAAGATTTGAATCTGTTGTATCTGGCACTTGGTTTTATCAAATTTATCTGATCATTGTCGGTGCTGAAACTTTATATTCAACTTCAACCTCTGTTGTTTCTTGAGGCAAGTAGAATTCTAAGATGGCCCCCAAGATGCCCTCCCACAGATATACAAGCCTATGTAATCTTCTGGACCACGAATGTATTAGGGTGTGTTAGATAGCACTGTTGACTTTAAGAAAGATCATCAAGGGTTGAGCCTGATCTAATCTGGTGAGTTGTAAAGGAGACTGGGCAGCCGGTTGCAACTGCACACGCCTGTAGTCCCAGCTACTTGAGAGGCTGAGTCAGAAGGATCTCCTGAACACAGAAGGTTAACGCTGTGATGAACTGTGATTGTGCCACTGCACTACAGCCTGGGAGACAGAGTGAGACCCCAACACACACACACACACACACACACACACACACACACACACACTAACAAATCACCTTCCTTCCACTACATGTGGAGCTTGTTTACTTTAGTATATGAACAAAAAGCAGCTGAGCTTGCTATCGGCAACATCTCCACCAAACACAGAGATTCTGTGCCCACCAACAACATCTGCTGCAATAACATGGTGGGAAAAAAATTACTAGTCACACACTTCTGGAGGGAAATGAATTTTTATCAAAACTTAAAATTCAAATATGGAAAAGGAACTTTGGGCCGGGGGCTATGGCTCAGGCCTATAATTCCAGCATTTGGGGAGGCTGAGGGGAGAGGATTGCCTGAGTCCAGGAGTTCAAGACCAGCCTGGGCAACATGGTGAGACCACATATCTACTATAAATTTTAAAAATTAGCCTGGCGTGGTGTGTGTGCCTATAGTTGCAGCTACTTGGAAGGCTAAGGCTGAAGGATAGAGGATGTGTGTGTGTGTGTGTGTGTGTGTTTGTGTGTGAGAGAGAGAGAGAGAGAGAGAGAGAGAGAGAGAGAGAGAGAGACTGACTCTCTCTTCCTTTTAGGGTCCTTTCTGGATTTCAGAGTCCCCAGTTCAGCAGAAGGAGAGGTTGTGAGAGAGATGGAGAAAGGGAGTAATGACAGGCTTGAGTTTAGGCATCCAACACATTTTTTTTTACCACTATAGTCCATGAAAAGCACACTGACAAGAACATTGAGATCTACAGGCAGTTTCATTTCTATCCAGGAAGAGATGAGGAAAGACCATCAAAGCAAGGTGGCAGCCAGGAAATTACAGATGAGAATCATGGCACTGTTCAATTTCTTCAACCTGTCCCATCTATGAAGAGGCATCACCTAAAAAAAAGGAAAGAAAAGGGGAAAAGTTTCCTTAAACCCTCCATATTTACTTCTCATTCTTCAAAAACAATTCCTAATGACCCCTTCTTTTAAAAATGCTCTTAAGTATTTAATTCAAGCCTCATCATCCCCTCTATAGTTTAACACCTTAAATTCATATAAAAATACCTACTGCATGCTCATAATGTGTCATGCCTTAAGTACTATCCATTGTTTTTTAACTGATCTCCCAGACTTCAGTTATTATCACCATAATTTGAGACTCGAGATTAATAGCCTCTCCTCCAAATAACTTTATCAAGTCCTCCTCCAGGTTGAAGTCCCCTAATATTTCCCTAACTGCCTCTAAACGTATTCCTTGGGGGTAATAACCAACTCTTTCCCTACTTTACCTTCAGTCTATCTTTTCAATTTATTTCTGTCTACTCCCTTCCAAAAATTCAACCTCTGCCAAAAAAAAAAAAAAAAAAAGCTTACCACACTGTTTCTTACATAGGCAATTTTGTCTGGTATTCGTTTTAAACTTTCTGTCATGTGTGTGGGGTGGGGGGTGTGTTTATAACTCCCATAGATAGTCTTTTGTTATAATGTTGGGTGAATTGGCCTCAGAGGCAGGCCTCAAGAAAAAGTAGCTTTGTGCTCCTTTCACCTGCCTCGAGTTGAGACTTTAATCTCCTCTCCCATCATGGCTTCTCTAGGGATGGCCTTATAATTGTGAGTCATAACACCATCCCCAGAGAAGGTCTTGCCCTATACTCTGGGTGAAGAAATGCTGATATGTTGAAACTTCCATAAAAACCAAAGAGAACTGGGTTCAGGGAGCTTCAGGATAGCTGAACACATAAGGGTTTCTGTAGGGTGACGTGCCCAGAGAGGCATGGGATCTCCGTGCACCTCCATACCTCAGCCTACACATCTTTTCATCTGTATCCTTCCTAATATCAATTATAATAAATTATAATAAATTGCATCTGTGTCCTTCATAATATCAATTATATTAACATGTTTCCCTGATTTCTGTGAGCTGCTCCAGCAAATTAATTGAATCCAAAGGGATGAGTGGGTCATGGGAACCCCAACTTGAAGCTGGTTGATCAGAAGTTCCTGGGACCTGGACTTGTAACTAGTGTCTAGGAATGGGGGTCTGTTTTGGAGACTGAGCCCTCAACCTGTGATATTTGACACTATTTCCAGGTAGATAGTGTCTAAATTGATTTAAAAGACACCTATTTGGTGTCTACTGCAGAGTTAATTGCTCACATGAAGGTGGGGAGAAATTGCCACACATATGATCACATCTCTATATTGATGATTACTGTTGAAGTGGTGTGAAAGAGAGAAAAAACACAGTTTGAGAGTTTTTCCCAAAATATGTATGAAAATAGATAGTTAAGGTACTGAGAATGTGTGAAAAAATATCTCCTAATTGAGACCCTAAATAAACCAATAACAATCAAGGAAATCGACTACATGATAAGAAAACTTCCTACAAAAAAAAGCCCCAGTCCAGATGGCTTTCCAGCAGAATTCTACAAGACATTTAAGGAGGAGCTGATACCAATCCTACTGAAGGTATTCCAGGCGATTGAAAAAGATGAACGCTCCCCAAATCATTTTACGAAGTCAACATCACATTGATACCCAAGTCAGGTAAAGATCCAGCAAAGAAAGAGAACTACAGGCCAATATCTTTGATGAACATAGATGCTAAAATTCTCAACAAGATCCTAGCAAACCGGATTCAGCAATACATCTCAAAAATCATCCATCATGACCAAGTTGGCTTCATTCCTGGGATGCAAGACTGGTTCAACATTCGTAAAACCATAAATGTTATTAAATACATCAACAGATGTCAAAACAAAAACCACTTGATT